GAATGTTTTCATCAAAAACCTTCATTTCTTTTCGACTGAAGCAAGAATGTCGTGGACATCTTGGATGACATGGGGGTGAGTAAATTATCAGCAAAAGTTTTTTTTTAAAGTGAACTACTCCAGTATTCTTCAAACTACCATTAAATAGAACCACAATCAGACACCAAAGTTATTCAAATCAATTCATATCACCACTTCACAATACAATGCACATTGCAATAAATATTTTGAATGTATTTAGTTTTTTTTTTTTTTTGGATCGATGCAACATCATGACCTGATTCTAGTTAACCCAAAAATGAAAATTCTGTCATCAATTACTCTCCCTCAAGTCGTTCCAAACTTGTAAACTTTTGTTCCTCTTCAGAACACAAATGAAGATTTTTTCGATGCAATCTGAGAGCTTCCTGTCCCTTCATTGACTTCAAAACGTTCACAAAGAGATTGTAAAACTAATCCATATGAATTGAGTGGTTTAGTCCAAATTTTCTGAAGAGACTCGATGGCTTTATGTGATGAACAGATTTAATTGAGGCTTTTATTCACATATAAACATTCATCAGCGAACAGTAACAGAACCTAAACCAAACCTGGTGACGTGTATGAACAAACCTCGTTGATTCTTCCCTTTGACTGAAATAATATGAATGTATACACAAATAAATTAAAAAACAAACAAACAAATATATAAGGTATCAGTGCAATATTGAGAATCTCTACATATGTTGTAGGAGCCTAGATAGATTGATTTTATTTCTATTTGTAGTACTTGTGCAGTCAAAAACATATTTTAAGCATTCAAAAGACTTCAACTTGACAGTCCAGCTGAATGTAGACGCTGCAAAGTAAACCTTTACGAGTAAAGTGCTTTTGAGAGCAATACCTCATAGCTATAGACTTCATTTGTTCACAAATGTAATAAATAAACACCACCGTTTTACGCACTGAAATGTTGCCAGTGCCCCATAAACATTAAAAGTTTGATTGTGTGCGCATAAAAAAAATAAGCACTCAACCTGCTATTATGAAAGCAAACTTTTGTTGGTCCATTTTTATTTTGTAATTTGGCCAGGGCTATTATCAATGCTTTATAGGTTGCCTGAAAGCCACACACACTGTTACATACTGACTCTAAACAATCACTGCTGTGCACACACACACGAAAACAGCTCTAATATGAAAAAGATGAGGGGACTGCAGTCGGAGCGCTCCCTCTCTCCTCCAGGGCTGGGCGCTGGACATTAGTGTTGTTCAGAAGAGTCATGCTGTTTGCAGTCAATCAGCAGACGTGTGCTGTGGCTAAGCAGCGTGTAGTTCATCTCCAGCATCTCTTTGATTTATAGTATTACACGTTTTATGTTTTTTTAAGGCTGTTTATAATTAAGTAAACTATTTTGATACATAAAAAATCCAATCTAAAACCTGTTTTGGGTTAAACAAATTATTAGTCATTCTATATAGGCTACACTACTGTAGCATCAACTTTTATCCTAGTTCTTTCTCAAGTCTCTATTTTTGTTTTCCGCACAGCTTTTTTTTTTGACATGCCTGTTACTTCTATCTGTATTTTCATGGTATTACAGTCAAGTCACGTATTTCCATTTTACTTGACAAAACAGCATTTTATTAAATAAAATGTTTGATGGCACATATGATGGCATCTTAACCGTCTGTGTGATTTATGTTAAAAGATAGTTCACTCTAAAAAGAAACTGAAGCCATCATTTACTCACCCTGGTGTTGTTAGCGGGGGTGTCCATTCAGAAGAAGAACAATGGCCATTCTCCTAATCTCCTTAAGCTCTTAACTGTCAGTCCCATAAATCTCATAAAAATTATAAATCTTAAATACTTAAGTTTGGTCTCTTTTTAAAGGACATACTAGGCAGATTATTGTAGAAATATGTAATACAGGCTACATAGACCTACTACACACACACACACACACATATATATATATAGAGAGAGAAACATTTTATTTAATAAAATGCTGTTTTGTCAAGTAAAATGTGCCATCAAAGATGTACTAAACTTCCCATAACTAGACTCCTTTGCTGACCATATAAGGACTCTTCAATTTCAATATGGTTTGAGTGATATGAACCATATATATCCATCATTTTTATACTATATTTATAAAGTAGACATCCTATTCAGAAATAGGTAATATGGGCAGTATGGTAGTAGGCTACATGATTTGAATTATACCTCTAACAAACACGTGAGACAGCCTACGGAAAAAAACACTGATGTGTAGCCTATCATTTCTTATTTATTTAAAACATTTTATTTTTTTATGAACTCTTGGCGTGAAAACAAACCGAGGTTTTTGCCATTATTTAACGATTTTTCATGCATGTTCAACGCTATTGTTATTCCAACATAAAGGTCTAAACATGCATCATGAGTCTGAAAGTATAGCCTACTTGTTGCAAATTAATAAATTATTATTTGTATTGAGAATAAGACATCAAATATGAAATCTATAGATTGTAAGCTTTCAAATTATTTATAGTTTGTCAATATTACTTAGGTTTAGATTAAGATTTAAATGCAGCCTTTAGCCTAGCCAAACATACCAACAGTGACCGTTAAGTAACGTTACCTAGATTTTTTGTTTTGTTTTTTTAACATGGAAAACGGTATTTCTAGGGTAAAATTGTAATCTTGTTAGGCCTACTATGTTAATTTAAAAATAGTGAGGATGAAAACCTAGCTACATTTATAATTGTATAAATTATACATTTAACAATTCCACAGCGTCTCAGTTAGTCTCGATATAAACCATTTTCACATTTCTGGGTTTATCAGAAGCGGAAGTTGTCATAGGCTAGTTGAGTAAACTTAGCTTATCAGTGAATGAGAGACTATATTAAATATATATTGTTTGTTTTCCCATTTGCTCAAATGGCAAAAGAAAAATCTCACTATATTTGTTCCCTCTTTTAGAAAGTTATGAAAACAAAGTGAGAAAGATGTCAACTTCACCATCACTCCCACAGCTGCGTTAACTAGCTAGTTTCTTAATTTGTTACAATGGTAATATAATACAAAGTATAGTGTTACAAATGTACGTTTAAAAAAAAATTAAAATACAAAAAACGTTGCAGGATTTACTGATGACCTTTAAAACGCGTCGTCATTCCCAGTCTGTCATTAGAAAAATGGCTGCGCGAGCTAACGCTTTGAGATGGCAAACATTTGTCATTTGCTTTCATTCGCTTCGGCTTTTGTCAGCCCACAGGCCGCGGTCACCAGAGAGCAATGTCTGCAGTTTGCTTCTGCTCCTCATTGAGTGCACCGCAAGGACCTTTATCAACAACATCTCCGCTGCGGGGCGAGGCGGCTTTATCACTCATCCTTACTGTATTAATGATGGGCCAGTTGTGACTCTGCGAGACTTTGGCCAGTGTTACGCATACCGGCACAAATCACCACGGTGTCAGTTCTCAAGGACATCGGGTCCTTTGAGAGCTAACTATATCACCACAGCATTCATGAAAAGAGCGTTCACGGTTTGTGGTGTTTTTTAAATTATTATTTATTATGCGAGGGAACAAACTAGTTTTGGTATGTTTTTATTCCCTCCTTCAAGTCCATATTAATCCATAATCCCCTCCTTTTCATTCTTTCCATTGCTTTCTTTTACACATTTCTTCCTCATTTTCTCATCTTTCTCTCTTCCTGTCCTCTTTCAGACGCATGTCCAATAGGACAGAATAATATTTGGACAGGTGTTCCTTTTTAAACACGTTATCCACAAGTCCAAGTACGCAGGGGACCGCACTACATTGCCTAATTCCTGCGCCGTTTCTTTAAGAAGATGGATCTGAGGTTAAATATACAGTACTGGTGGAGTCATACACAGCCTGCTATACTGTAATCTATAGAGCACTATATCCGTAATCCCTGACAATAAAAATCTGTTTAGCACAAATTTTCCTTTATTTTTTAAACGTTCTTTTTTCCTGTTTCAAACAACTGCAAAACGCCACATCTGGGAGACAGATGTGCGTCCCACAGCAAGCTTTCTCTCTCTCTCTCTCTCTGCTTAGAAACATGAGAGCAGGCTTGTGTCTCTCTCTCTCTCTCTCTCGCTCTCTCTCTCTCTCCCTGGGCGGACCACCCACATAAGGAAACGCCTTGCTGTACTGAAGGCAGAAATACAGGGATGGCTTTTTTGATGGATGGGTTTAGCAGACTATCACTTATGTCAATGTCAAAAACATAAAGCTGCTCTCACAAAAGAGGGCGAGAGAGAGACGTCTTTGCATCTGTCCGTCTGACGTCTTTCTGCAGTGACATAAAAGCCTTTTCACAATATTCGTGGCTTCTGTACTGTTAAAAGACTAAGTCTATGGACTGATTGGGTTTCTCAGGTCTTTTTTTTTTTGGTAAAGAGACAACCTTTCTGTTTAAACGGATAAATCCCATACATCTGGAAGACATGTGAGACAATCGATGTATAATACATACACTACATTGGATATGTGATAATCTTTTCCAGAGTCAATTCGTTCATTTCGTTCGTTGAATGAACCAAATGACACGAAAAAAGATTTGTTCATTTTGATGTACGAGGTTGAACAGGAGAGTCACGAACGCGCATCACAGAACAGAGCAAGGCGAGCATTTGAGCTTATAAAACTTAAACTTTGTTATTTTTTTAAACGAGTGATCGTTTCGCTTGATAAGACCCTTATTCATCGTCTGGAATCGTTTAAAGCCCTTTGAACAGTTTGCTCTCATTTGGACCTTGAACTGTTTGGTTCCCAATGAAGTCCATTATATGGAGAAAAATCCTGGAATGTTTTCATCAAAAACCTTAATTTCTTTTCGACTGAAAAAAGAAAGACATGGATATCTTGGATGACATGCGAGTGAGTAAATTATCAGCAAAAGTATTTTTTAAAGTGAACTACTCCTTTAACTCCAAACGACTGACTGAAACCTGTAATCGGAGACGCTAAACGTGCGTAGAAATATTAGTCACACCATCACTGATTGTTTCCATTATGCCGATTTATTTTCATACTCCAGAACAGCTGCAGAAATATTTGAACTGCAAACCAATTAAGTGACAAAACTGCACATTAAAACCGCTTATATGAGGAGCGTTATTAATTTATGATCTGTCTCAAAGTGTGCAACATGCATTTATTCCATAGCAGCTGATTAGTGCAGCAGTGACCTAATAAAAACACTTATGCATCTAGATCCAGAGATGTTTGCAGTCTGTAAACAAATTCAGACTTTATAGTGCACTTCGAGTTCAGTCCTCACTTCAAAGAAAGCACTTCAGGATTAGTAGTAGTGAGACAGTGAGTTTATAAAGTGTGGAATAAAGCTTTTTGATGACAGTGTTAAGAACGTAATCTTCACTCCATTACTCTACAGAGCTCTGAAACAGATTCTTTTTAAACTCATCCAGCTTTTAAGGCAAAAAAGCTTTAGTGCAAAATGAAGGGTGCACACAATAAGAGAAGAGAATCTCAAAGACACATCTAAACCCTTCTCTTCGTTCACCATTAAAAATAGTCTTGCTTTTGGACTCTCTAAGCACTCTTTGGTAACACTTTTTAGTATTTTTCATGAATAACATTAACAAACATTATCGCATTTCATAGCCAGAATCCCTTGCATCTTTCCATATTTTTATTAGATTTTTTTCATTTATGCTTATATTAAAATTTATATAATATATTTAATAAATATATAATAGAGATATAATAATACAGATACACAAATCATTTATTTTATATAGACTGAAAATCTGTAAATCGATCTAAAATGAACATTTAAGGATTTTAATAGGTTGAATTCATTTTAAAAAGAAACATTCTGCGCTATTTCTGTATCAGAAGTGAATAGCAACCGCATGACCCTAAGACTTTGAACTTCATGTTCATTTTTCTATTCACTTCACTCAAATTGTTTAGTTATAATGGGGAAAAAAAATTTATTCAACTAGAAACATGCAAAAGCATTTCATAGTGTTCATTACCCAATTCTATATTCACATTGGAATGTATAATCTAATCAGTTTTTTAACGTTACAATAAAAAATACAATAAGCTGTTACCAAATTCAAGTGCTCAATTGGTTTTTCGTTTCCGTCGACCCACCTCCGTTGCCACAGAGCCCACCGTTGCTCCCATAGCCCCTCCTAAGGGCCCCCCGACGAACAACCCCACGAACGACCCCAGTAAAGTACTGCCCCTCACCATATTCGGGAGCCACAGAAGCCACCCGACCACGCTGTCCCACAGCCAGCGTAAGAATGAGGGGTCAGGCGTGGAGACGCAGAGGTCTGCGATTCCCTCAACCACCAGATCGTCCACACTTCTCTCTGCTTCGGCCCTTACTCCCTCCGAATTGTCTTCCCCTCTTTCTCTTCTGCCTCTCAAGATCTCCTCCTCCTTCTCTTTCACTCTCCTCTCTGCCTCCTTCAAGAGAGGGCAGGTGTAGAATTGAGTCCCGCTTTCTTTGACCATCTGCTCCACCTTTATCAGCAGCTCCTTCTCATCTGCGTTCGCTCCTGCCCGCAGCGGGTGATGTCGATCCCCACACTTCTGTACGAGCTCCAGTAAGTCGACCCGTTCTGTGCTGAGATACTCATCCAGTGAAACTTCCTCAGGCAGGCGGTCCATGCGGGTGAAGAGCACCATTGCATGTTTACTAACTGCTTCAGGACCAAACACTTTCTCGATGGTCTCCAAAATCTGGAGCTCCAGATTGCTGGGCCGGTGAACAGGGACACAGAGCAGGAAAGCGTGGGGCCCCGGGGCCGATAAAGCCGCGCAGAGTGAAAACTGGCGGCGGACGTCCTCAGCGGGACGCTCGATGCACAGGCAGTCAGGTGTGTCCACAACAGACACCTGCAAGGAAGAAAACGGAGTCTTAGAAACAGGCCCTTTCAATAAACATGAAAGAACACTATGTGGATACACTCAAAAAAGTCCAAAAAACTATAACGGTAACGACATCAAGAAACAATATTGTTGGAATCACTTTCTGAACCATTTTTTCCCAGCCGATAAATGATAAAAACATTGACAGCCAATCAAAATCCATCCTGCTTGAAGAAGTTTAAGCATTTAAAGCTGCAGACAATAATAGCGCAGCGTGCGCTTATAGTAAACAGAACAATATCGTCAGCTGGTCTGGACGCTAATACAGTTATCTTTATAGATATCGTTATTGGTGTGAACCGGCCTTTACAGTGATTTTACCACGGTAAAGGGATGTTCTTAAGTACAATGTGTAATTTTGTTTTATAGTTTAAGGTAACGTTAGGCCAATTTCGCTTGCATAAAATATTTTATATACTTTTAATATTTAATTTTTTGATATACATTTTATTTATAATATATTTGGTAACACTTCTCAATGAGGTGCCATTAGTTTACATTAATGCATTAACTAAAAAATTAGCAATATACTTGTTGCAGTATTTATTCATATCTGTTAACATTAGTTAACTAATGTTAAACATTAAACTCTATTTTATGTAAATAACTGTTCATTGTTAGTTCATGTTAGCTCAGGTCTATCAAATAATAAACAACCAAATTTTTTGACAACTTTTAATGTATTAGTAAAAGGTGAAATTAACATGAACTAAGATTAATAAATTGCTTGTTCATTTTAACTAATGTATAATAATGTAAACGTACATTTTTCTTTTTTTTATTTGTTTCTCATGATCTTTTTGAATCAAAGGTTTAATGGTACAAATATATATATATATATATATTTGTAGACAAATAAAGATGCTAATTTATTTACTGAAGAAAAATTAACTAAATGTAATTAAATTTCCCAGGTGGCACCTCAATTTTTAAAACTATTGGTTTTTGCACTTTTCTAAAAACAAACACACAAACAGTTAAAATTTGCCATTTGTAAAATGTGTATGATAACGATTATGGTTTATGATGTGCATACTGTATATACATGTGAACAAACAAAAATATTAGATATAGACATCAAATGAAATGTTTTTGACATGCCTAGTCACATAATCACATACTTGCCTTGATGCAACTCTGACATTTTTTTAAAAATATTCATATGCAGGACTGAACAATCAGGTGGCCCCTCGTAGAGTTTTAGGAGAGACATGAACTCACCTGTCGTCCTGCCAGCGTGCCGCGCCTCTTCTGACAGGCAGTGACTGGAGTCTCGGGGCCCGAACAGTCGGACTCAGATGTCAGGCCGCCCAGGATGGCATCGACCGCAGTGCTCTTCCCTTTACCCGCTGAGCCCAGCAGCACCAGTCTCAACTCTAGAACCACAGACAGAGTTATTATAAACAGGCATGAGTTACAAAGAAACCACTGTCCTCTAAATAATAACTTACGATAATACTAGGAAATGTTTCAGTTAACTTATTTAGATTTTAGTTGTACTCTTGAATAAATAATGCAAGGGAAATGGGACCATGATCCCATGCCGTGTTAGTGGTTTTGTGAGTGTTAATGCAATAGCTCATCTCATAAAATTAATAAATTTAATTACAGCAAATTCCACACCACACCACAATACTGGCATATTAAATATTTTGTAATTCATCATTACAGGCCAAATTAATTTTTGCACTTTTTTAAGTCCACATTTGCTACTATTTACAGCATTTTGAGTTTGATTTTAAAATCTTCTTATCCAATATTTGAAAATTATGCTTGAATACATATATAACAATTTATCTTCACACTATCTAATAATACCATCTGGATTTTTGTAATGTATAAGAAAATAGGAAAAACATAGTCAGTTTTAAAGTTAATTTAAAGCCTTGTACTATTATTATTTTTTTTTTTTAATATTTTATCAAGGTCAGTTAGTGGTGTGAAAAAATATTACAAATCAGGTTTTAGCGAAGCAACAAGCACACATTGGTTATATTTAATAAAGTGAAAGACAATTTTGTTAGCATAACATCAATTTTGATGCAATACCACCACCTAAAGACTGAACTGATACATAACACCTTTCATGATACGAAACTTAAAGGGATAGTTCAACCAAAAATGAACATTCTGTCATCATTTGCTCACCCTCATGTTGTTCCAAACCTGTGTTTGAGATATTTTGAAAAATGTTGGAAGCCATTAACTTCCATTTAGGAAAAAAATACTATGGAAGTCAGTGGCTACCACCAACTTTCGTACAGGTTTGGAACAACATAATGGAAATGACAGAATTTTCATTGTTGGGTGAACTCTCCCTTTAAACTGCAAAATTGGATTTAATAAAGGTTGTGAAAATGAAATGTTGTGGCTGTGTTATGGTTACACACGTTTCAAATGACAAATGAAGCAATGTTGTTCTTCTCATCCGAGTCAGAATATAAAAGATGTGCGTTTTATTTTTAGTAAGGCTGTTTTCTGACATGTATCTTCTAAAAAATTGTTTCCTTTTTACTTTGGGGGATGGTGAAGAACATACTGACGCTATTTGCAAGAGAAAACATGTTTGTCTCAGTTTCAAACATGCAAGTAAGAAACAATTAAAAGGACAAAATGATGACATCATGTGATATTAAGTGTGGGACAACTTAACACTCAGTATCAGTTTAATTGATGCATTTATTATGGTATTTGCTCACACTGCAAAAAAATACAACCTACATTTTGAAACCTTGTTTTGTTTTAAGCCAAAAATATTAGTGGCAAACTAAAAGGGCCACATTAGTCACTTTTTTACAGCGATACTTCAAAGTACTTCAAAAACACATGCCCAAAAGCAAGGTATGATTAGGCTGGTATCGTGTCCACAAAAACCTAGGTGATTTGTTTTAGTAAATCAGATTAAAAAAATTATACCAAACCTCGTTCTTTTGGATCTGTCCACCCTCCCTCACTGCTTTCTGGTGTTTCTTTCTCCTCCTGGTGAATTTCATCTTGTGTTGTAGTTCCCTCCATAGTCAGCACCTTGAAAGGACACAACAGAACATAATGTATTGTGCAGTATAGACTGTGAATTGTCATCTAATGGGAAAATGGAGGACATCATTCCATTCGCATGACTCAGCAGAGAGGAACTGGCAGAAAAAACGCACATTTCACTTACCTCAGCTGCAGTTGAGCACTTTTCAAACTGCCTCATTTCAACTGACAGCTTAAAATCAGGCCAAAACTTACGTGCTCAGCTTCCACTGAAAATTTGGTGACTGCTTTTGATTATGTCAAAGCTGATAAATAAAACATGCTCAAAAAGCTTACCTTAACTGAGAAATTGATCTATTGTGTGTGTAGCGTGAGCTTATGAGCCTGCTCTGTGTTCCTCTGCACTTCCTGTTTCTCCTCCGGCTGTTCAGCCAAAACACTGCTGGTAGTGTGGCTCTCCCCGAACATGTGATACCGCCTCCGCCTCCTCCTCCTCTCTGTCTATGAAACACACACCTCTTTTGCAGAGACTTCTAAAAGGTGTGTCCATACTGTTTTCATGAACATAAATGGCTAGTTTTGTAGCATTTTTATTGTCTGAAACCACAAACAGGAAGTTGAGCACTCTTCCTCAGTTCACTTATTTAATACTTCAGACATGCATGCCATGCTCAATGTGTTCCCTGTTTAGCTTCCTTCGTGTCATTTCAGGGTTATTAAATCTTGTGGTAAAGGGAACCCCGACTAGTGAGGCATGTTGGCCTTATAAGATTAACGTGGGCGTCAGCTATAAAAAGGTGATACAAAAACACTCCAAATGTTTTTGATTTTATTTAAAAAAAAGTCGAAAATCCATTCACTGGTAGGCCGCCATATTTATTTACGTCTCAATGCATTCTGGGTAGTGACGTGTAATGGTTGTAGTCGGTTGAGCCTAGCCGCTGCTGCTTCGTTTAATGTTTTTTCTACGTACCGACTAGCTAGATAAGTTTTGACAGTAGTGAGATGAACACGTCTGCCGTTCAGCCATCTCAGTTTGAACCTGAGCGTACCGTAGGCTTAAATCAAGAGAATAAAGGCCAATTTATACTTCTGCGTCGAGGGTACGCCGTAGTGTACGGCGTTGGCTACGCACGTAGGCGACGCCGTTGTGAGCATTTATACTTCTGCGTTCAGGTCTTGGTTGCTCTGCAGTACTGCTCCGAAACGCTAGTTGGCGGCGGAGAGTTTTAATGTTCCACTGTGTTTAGATTCCTCGCGGCTAGGTTACTACGAGTGAAAGAGAGCTGATCATGTTGGAATTGGAGCTTATTAAGGTGGAAAAACAGTTCACTTTAGTAAAATTACTAAAACTGAAAGGCAGAAATGAGAGAAGACTTCGGAGGAGATGAAACTTGTGGAAATCATAGACAGTGGTGGAAATGCGTGAGAAGGTACGTGCGGAAATGCGTAGGAGGAAATGCGATGCTACCAAGCCAACCAATCACCGATCTTGCGGTCCGCGTCGTCGCGACGTGTAGTTACATTTTTGAGGAGGTGCGCGTCTATGGCGCTCGGAATGTTCCATTCGGCGACGAGACTGACAAGCAAGACAGATAACACACGTGAATACGTGCGTGTACGTCTCCATATAAAACAAATGGAGACGTACACGCAAATATCACGTCACGTAGACACGTCAATAACGTGTAGCTGTTGATCTATGCAGACGTCACGGCGGAGTCACGTTAAAAGTTTAACGTGTGGATTACGTCTGCACGTCTGAACGTCTGCCCGTCTGAACGTCTGCACGTCTGCCCGTCTGAACGTCTGCCCGTCTGCACGTCTGCCACAATCTAAGTTTACAAACAAGACTTATTTTGGCACATTTTATGTAGGACTATGATACACTTATTTTTATAATGCTGAATGTCTGGTAATGTACCATTGGTATCCCAATGATAGATGTAACTTTTTAATAAAAGTCTATGGCATGTATTTTGATTATTCGATCTTCAGAGATAAAAAAATAAAATGGGCTAAAAAAATTCAGAAAAACTGAGTCTTATCATTATATATTAGTGTGTTTCAGATGTGTTAATGCTCTGCAGCAAGCCAGCAACAGTCTGCATGCCTCGAGTTCACTCATGCTGCATCCAGCATTAATTAACCATTCAGAAACCATTTTAGAGTATATTGGATTTTAAACTAAAATTAGTTAGCCTGTGATTGCTTGGATCAGGCTACTGCTATTCTTATTCTGAACAAGTAATTAATCATTCAAATTAAAAATGTTTTAACATAAATGTACTATTTAATAGAGCTACAACACTAAAGTTTTTATAAAGCCTATAAATGTCGTCTAGTCATACTGCACATTTTTTGCTACCGTTGAGAGCATACAAAAATCTCGCCCAAGTCAGGCAAAACAGTTGACCGCCCATATAAATACAGTAAGAGGAGCAAACGCTGCATAGTCTTCACCTGCAGGAAAAACAAACACTTTAAACAGAATAAGATGAGATGAACACTTTAATCAGTAGGCGGCAGCAGAGCAGCATTTATTTGACCATCTCCACTTTCTAAATAGGAAATTACTGACCCACAGAACAGTTTGGATTCACTCTTTCCATTTATGACAAACAAAACTATTTTATTTAAAGTGTGAATAGATTATAAAGAAAGAGAACAAAGTATGCTCTTTTTATTTAGCGACTGATGGAACTCCTGCGAAAACTCCTCTGATAATAAATAAATTGTCTATAGCCGACAATCAAACATTTAGGCTGTGTAAACCTCACACTGCTGGTAGCTATCCTGAAAATTAACATTAACTGTAAACTTATTCCTCAAATCTAGTTGTAGTAATATTGTTTAATGATCAAAAAGGATGTTGATTCAGGAACATTGTACTTCATGAAATCATGTTCATCCATTCACTAAATCCCTTTGCACATACTGCCTTCAATGTCATTTTACAGTTTTTCTCAGTCACTTTGGTAGTTTCTTGAATCATCCTTAAGTTTTGCAAACCAGTAAATGCATTTCTTAAAATAATTAATAGCAGTCCATGGATTGCCTGCAAAAGCCTGTACCTCCTCAAATCCTTAGTTCATCTCTCAAAAGTGGTATTTATGTCAATGAACATATCAGTACCATTGAATAGTCCTTGTGTATTTGCTCACAAACAAGATATTCAAAATGCTTATTGATGTTGTCGATATGAAATTGTACTTGTTCAGTATTTCCCAGATATCCAGATGAAGCTTCATGAGATGCACCTCTGAGCTACTTCAGAGAACTGGTTGATCATTGGTTGATTTAATGCTTTACCTTTCATTGGTGAAATGCAAAATTTATAGCCAAGAAATGCTTGCTGTCATTAAAACATTAAAATGTAGCATGTCATTGGAACCAACAACGGCATATATATTTAGGCTAGCTATATTTCAATTCACGTATAACGCAGTCACTTTAAATTCACATAATGTTTAACTGGGTAACATAATTAGGAAAATATCAACCCGCAATATATGAAAATTAACTGCCAATTGAGACCAAAAGTTGAGAAAAAAATACCAAGTAAAAAACACATTTGTAAATATTTATTTTAATATTTCTGTAATGAGCAGTCTTTAGTTTTTGAAAAAATCATTAGAAAACCAGAATGCCTGTAAATAAACTATATGGTAATGACATTTCACACAATAAAAAAAAAAAAAAAATTGTTCCAAACATCACCACAGCAGAACAATTGCAATTGTCTTAAAGTAGTAGTTGTGTGGATATTAAATATATAGCCTCTTTGTTTTTTGTTTTTTTGAAAGAATAGTTTGAACAATAACCAGTAATGTCAATAGAACAGTGCCTTGCCGCCATCTACTGGCGGTTTTATATTTATTTTTAGTGGTTTCATATTTGTTTGGCCGAGCTCCTTTATTTCGGGATTTAGGCTACAACTCGTTATAACGATTTTTTTATAACATAGAATTTTAGAATATAATTCCACCCACTGCCACTCTACTATATCTGTATTTTTTGTATTATTATTAGCCATAGCCTATTCCCATGCATGCTCGTGCATAATTGATACAAAACGAAATTCACTTTAAAGAAAGTCTTTCTACAAAACAAAAGTTAATGAAGTGGTCAAATCATGTCTGACCCACTTGTCTCCCGTCATATCGCATCATGTTGCTCTTACTCATGCTGTTCACTGTTCATAATCAACATAAATGAAAATTAAATAACAAAAGCCTATTGTAATATTTAGACAAATGTGAAACTGAGCGGATATTGAGCGGACAGTCACGTGAAAAGTAACTTGAAACTTGTTTTTAAATGGGAAGAGCGTCTTGGTTCACCCTCCGCCTTTCAGAAAGATAGGCTATGCTATGCTTTATTACACAAAACGAAACATTGAAACATTATTATATTTATAATGCTGTGGTCTAGTTTGTATGATGGACTATCTAGCTACTTCAGTAATAATAGGCCTACGTTGTTTTGGTGAGAAGTCTGTTTCTCAGATCATAATAAAAAAAATTCTTGGCCCCCTTATATGAAAACGAAATGAGCTAGGCTACAACATAGTCCTAACAACGATAGAAAACCAGAACTTAAGACGGATCGCCATTGCCTGAATAATAAAAAAAAAGCTGAATGGAGATAGCTCCAGACGTTAAGACGTGCAGTCGTTAAGACGGGCAGACGTTAAGACGGGCAGACGTCCAGATAGGCAGTCGTTAAAACGTACAGACGTTCTCCACACGCACGTTAACACGTCTTTAAGCTTGGCTAGGAATCGAATGACACAAAGCGAGCGCCATACGCGTCAGGCGACGGCGAAGGGTACGCGGTATGGGACGCGTCTGTGCGTATGCTACGCCGTACCTACTGCGCGCACCCTACGCAGAAGTATAAATTGGCCTTAACGCGGTGTCTGTGCGGCAACTGCTTGCCAGTTCCAAGCGAGAACGACCGCGTTTGCTGTAAAGAAATATAGTCTAAGATTTAAGATTTTAATATGTAGCTAGTGCAGGCCATTCGGTGCAATGGTAATTAATATTGTAACTCAGTTGTAAGATTGAAAATGTACATGGGTAGATGAGCAGGATAGCCCTCATGGATTTCATGTGACGTCACACAGTGGCGCGGCCGCCATTTGTAGGACCGAATCGTGATTGCTAACGTGCCGTCTATCTGCAGTGCTGTAAGCTGTGACAACAGCAAATCACAAAGAAATGATAAAATAAAATTTAATAACATTCCCAAAAACCCTGAACGTTGTAAGAAATGGATTTCTGCTATCAAGAGGGATAACTGGACATCTACAGAACACTCCAGACTCTGCAGTGAGCACTTTATTTCAGGTAAGGAATGTAAGCTAATCGTTTGCAACATGGTTTGCAAACGTGAACTGTTGTAACATTAGGACCTGTTCCTTACCAATCAGCCTTTGCAGATAAATTCAATTAGGTGATGTGTAACTGGCTTACATT